GCCAAATGCCTTAACCACTCAGCACACTTTTAGGTGTGCCAACTAAAGAGTTGGCACATCAAGGGATGGGAGAAGGGAGAAGGGCATGACTTTGCTTTTGTCTGGAAACCTGGTTTGTGTACAAATAAAACCAAAGGAAACCAATAATGTTTTTAAATAAGGGTATATTCTGGAATTGTGTAGGAGAAAGATGAAGGCCTCTTAAATGTCAAGGAACCCTTGAACAGAAACCCTGGCATCAAAGGCTGTGCATAAGGAGTAACAGTTCAGAGTAAAGGGAAGCTTGGCAACCTACCAAACCAGCGCAGTTTCTGCTTATTCTTCCTATACTTTAGACATGCAAGTGGGATAGTGTCTCTTGTGCAACTGCTAAGAGGAAGTGACCTTTGGATCGAAGGAAGTAGAAAGATTAAATCAGAAAGAATCAAAGTTCAGAGTCTGCAAAGCCATAAGCCCTCTATTTGGGCCAGCAAGGTCAGTCTCTTTTATTTTTTGTTTTGAGGCAGGGTCTCACTCTGTCACCAAGGCTGGAGTACGGTGGTGCAGTCACAGCTCATTGTAGCCTCAACATCCTCGGCTCAAGTGATCCGCCCAGCTTAGCCTCCCAGCTCAGCCTCTCGCATAGCTGAGAACACAGGTGTGCTCCACCATGCCTGGCTAATTGTTTTATTTTTATTTTTATTTATTGATTGATTGATTTTTTTGAGACAGAGTCTCACTCTTGTTGCCCAGGCTGGCGTGCAATGGTGCGATCTCGGCTTACCGCAAACTCCACCTCCCGGTTCAAGTGATTCTCCTGTCTCAGCCTCTCAAGTAGCTGGGATTACAGGCACATGCCACCATGCCCGGCTAATTTTGTATTTTTAGTGGAGATGGGGGTTTCTCAGTGTTGGTCAGGCTAGTCTGGAACTCCCGACCTCAGGTGATCTGCCCACGTCGGCCTCCCAGAGTGCTGGGATTACAGGCGTGAGCCTTTATCCCAGCCTTTATTTTCATTTTTTTGTGGAGATGGGGTCTCACTGTGTTGCCCATGCTGGTCTCCAACTCCTAGGCTTGTGCCTCCTCCCAAAGTGCTGGGATTATAGACATGAGCCACTATACTTGGATAGTCTTTATTCTAGCTCCGCTATGCTTTCCCTTGCTTCCTTTAGCCACTAAAGTCTTGTGGAAAAGCAATGTATATCATCAGATTCCAAATTCTTCTCAAGTTAAGACAGCGACTTTCTGGAGTTAATGGGTTGTGGCTTCATTTGTAAATCCTTGAAGGTAGGGTGCCCAATATTGTAAAACGTAACTCTAGATTTAGCTTACTCATCCATTGGGTTGAAATAAAAAGTATTTAATACCAAAAATTCAAAAGCCAAGTCAAAACTATCTTTTAAAGCAAAATGCTGACTCCAGTATTTTGGCAAAGTTTCTTTCCTTGATTGTAGTCATTTCAAGGAGAGAGAGGTTAACCTCTTCCCCTAATCTCACCTCTTCAAAGAAAAGAAGTTGAAGCAGAAAAATTAGCGCTGATCTCATGTTAGGATTCAAAGGGCAGGATGGGGCTGTATAATGTAGTGATGGAAATAAGATAAAACCCTTGTTACTGTTTTCCAGAAGCTAATCTGAGGGTTGCCATGGTAACTCACCAGGGTACAAGACTGTTGTGAGCTTTAGGGAACAATTTTGGGATACATTCTTAAAAGAGAATGTCAACTGCTTTCATCAAATGGGTGAGAAGTGGGGCACAGTGGCGCACATCTGTAGTACCACCTAATCTGAAGGCTGAGGCGGAAGGATAGATTGAGCCCAGGGGTTCGAGACCAGCCCAGGAAACATAGCGAGATCCTGTCTCTCTCTTACACACACACACAGCCACACACACATATACACACACACACACACACAAGTAACAGAAGAGGCCTTTGGAAGTGGATCAAAACTGATTTAAGATTTTGGTTCGAATTTTTGAAAAAGTACGTGTCTTGCGAGAAAAACAACAGTAAAAAGTCAACTGGTAAGTCTTGCCAAGTCTGTAGGGGAAGACACACCAAATTGCAGGGCTAAAAGAAAGAACCTAAAAGTCAAAAGCAATTGGAGCTATTTGGTAATTTAAATAAGTACATTCTGTAAGAATCGAAGCTATCTGCTATTAGCTTCCTTGTTGTCCTCTTGGTATTACTTATAGAAGACTCCAATTCAGTGCATTTGATCCTACTGTTTTCCCACATTCGTTTTCATTCTGAAGTCATTGTTTCTATACATATTAATTGCTTTATACTTCTTTTTCCCTTTTACAGAAAAGCTAAATGTAAAAAGGGTATCATTGCAGCAGTTTACCAGGAACAATTATTCCTGGTAGAAACTATTTAACTAAATACATAGGACCCTGCAACTAGATTTTTACCTTCCTTTTAATTTTATTTGAGTATGGTATTATCTAAGCTTGCCTCTTTGGCTTTTCACATTAAAGTACCATATCTCTCTGTAAGCATAAGAATCTGTACAAACAGGCTTTTTTTTTTTTTTAGCTTTTCTAGAAAATTTGGGGGGAAATGTTGTGGAATAGAATGCAAAATTCACAACATTTGAGACAAAACATAGAACTTGAAGGAAATTTTATATTTGCGGCAGGCCGGTTTCATGACAACTATACCCTCTTAGACTTCCCTATGATTCTCACGATTAGTACTTTATGGAAAATTATTAAAAGCCACAGTTCAAATAGTCTCCCGGGGATTCCTGAGGACCAATACAGTGCAATACAGTGCAATATGAAAACCCCAAATTACTATTTAATTATTTAGACTTAGTTTATGACATTTTGATTGGTTTTCTTTCTTTCTCTTTCTCTTTTTCTCTCTTTCTTTCTTTCTTTCTTTCTTGCTTTCTTTCTTGCTTTCTTTCTTGCTTTCTTTCTTTCCTCTGTCTCTCTCTCTCTTTCTTTCTTCTTTTTCTATAGCAATTGCAGGGTGGAGTATAGGTTAGTGTGATTCTAAGTCAAACGTCAGCAAACTACTTCCCACATACCAAATCAGGTCCATCGCCTGTTTTTCTACAACTTGCAAGCTAACAATGTTTTGTATGCTTTTCAGTGGTTGAAGAAAATCAAAAGGATATTTTATGACATATAAAAATTATATGGAATTTGAGTTTTAGCTATAAGTACAGTTTTATTGGAACACAGCCTTATTCATTTGTCTACACATTGTCTAGGACTGCTTGTGTGACAAGGTCAGAGTTGCGTAGGTGCCACAGAGACCATATGACTGGCAAAGCCTAAATATTTATTACCTGGGGTGGGCGCGGTGGCTCATGCCTGTAATCCCAGCACTTTGGGAGGCCAAGGAGGGCAGATCACCTGAGGGCAGGAGTTCAAGATCACCCTGGCCAACATGGTGAAACCCCATCTCTGCTAAACATACAAAAAATTAGCTAGGCATGGTGGCAGGTGTCTGTAATCCCAGCTACTCGGGAGGCTGAGGCAGGAGAATTGCTTGAACCTGAGAAGCAGAGTTTGCAGTGAGCCGAGATCGTGCCATTGTACTCTAGCCTGGACAACAAAGAGTTAAACTCCATCTTTAAAAAAAAAAAAAATATATATATATATATATATATATAGCTTTTTCTCTAAAGGATCAGGCTGACCCTTTAGAGAAAAAGCTAGTCGACCTCTTATCTAAATCATTATTTCCACTATTGATTGTCAAGTTATAGCCTGAGTTGTCTAAAGATAAAACATTAATCAAATTACATTAATACTCCACTAATGAAAGCTATTCTTATGTAAGTTCATTGTCTTGATATAGAAACTGAAAGGGTAGAGACCAGAGTTGATAGGTTTGACAAGAAGGAAGATAAGATACTGAAAGAGAAAACAAGAGTAATGTCTTCCAAAAACAATGGAAAACTTTCCAGTGATATTTGCTGATAGGTGTCCTTTTTCATATCAGAAACCAAAATGCCTTGTTTTCCACAATATGTAAACTCTAAAGACACTGTCACTTCATTAGCGATTTTCTTTCAGAAGAATTAATGATCAGTATGTGCAAGTTCAAGTTCTGACCTTATTTGTCAAACTGTCTGAGGTTGAATGTTCTGGGAAAATGACAAAAGGAAGGAAGCATTTAGATATGTGTCTCCTGAGACTTAATTCATCTTTGATTAACTGAAGAAGCCATAAGAATATCTTTCTGGGCAAATAATAACCAGCTTCCTTTAAACAGAGGAAAGGTACTCTTTTGAATTAAAAATCTAGTTGTAATTCTAATTTAGCCAAGTTTATTATCTCACTATTAAGAGCCTAAAGAGTGCAGTACTTTTTCTTGGGTCCTAGGAAATCTTTAAAACAAACAAACAAAACAGAACAATTGAATTTACAGTTGTACCACAGCTTTATCGGAGTGCTTTTCAATTATCTCGCTGATGCACATAGTGGGTGATGTTGATAGGGGGTAAATGCTTGCTTGGGTGTGCCCAAGATTATACACAATTCCAGGAATCCCTAGTTGTATTGAAATCCCTCATTTCACACTCAGAATTGTAGAATGCAAATGAATATAAGGAAAGCTATGAATCCACCCTTGTGTATGTATTAAATAAACTTCAAACATTTATGCCAATTTTACAACTTGTGAACAACAAATTACTTGACATGTCTCGTATTTTCTTCAAATTTGGTTTTGAGGTGTCTGTCTGGAGAATGACTATAAATTCTAGTCCTGCCCTGATGGGGCTTCATGGAAGGTGGTTGTGGATGCTTACAGTGTGCTTTTCACAGGATACTTCTTTATGATAGTGGACAGCCTAATGTCTAAGTGTCCAACCTCTGACCAGCTGTTCCTCTCACAGGAAACTTGTTTATATTGGCAGACAAACTTGTGGCTCTCATCTGACCTGTGTCCTGTTTAATCCTACAAGAAAGCCAATCTCTAGGAGAGCTCTGACCAGGAAAGAAGTTAGGTTCAGCTGTATCAGTCAGGTGAGACACAGAGGAGAACATTTAACAAAACACATGAAATAAAAGCAGTTTATTACTTACAGGTCCCAGAGATAAGAGGGCTGCATGCCTGGAAGGGGAAATGCAAAGTGGCGGCCCATCCAGGACACACATGCTTGATGGCGAGCAAGAGAGAGGGAGAAAGAAAGCCATGTGGGCTAAAGCCTTTATTGGGGTCCAGGGTGTTACCTGAGCAGGTTTCCAGTGGGGCATTCTAATCGGCGAGTCTAGAGCAAGCAGGCATGAGTTCAATGGAGGCACTTGTGGACTAAGATGGTCTCTGAGGCATATCTGTGAAGTCCATACAGGGTGTGGGGTCAGTGGGGTGAGTCAAGTAGATTGTATTTTGCTCTACCATAGGGAGGTGGACAGCAAGAGGCTGATAATACATCTGGATCAAGCACACTGAGGAACTAGGAAGAGACAGAGAACCGAAAACTGTCAAGGATGAGGAAGCCCTGCTTCTGGTATGAGAAAACCCAACTTATACTCAAAATGGGTGTCAAGGCAACATGAAATTATAAGAATATGCTATAACCTCACACAAACTAGTCACAACAACTCAGCTGAATGCAAATGATGACCTTAGAACACATTTAAGTTCAGCAATGTAGCTTAGCCAAAATATTGGATGGCTTGGTTCTTCAGCCCCTTTGAAGCATTCTTTGGGCAGTAACTTTGGTAACAGTGGAGTTAGTTGATGGCTTCAGCATCAGCGTCACAGTCGTTTGGTGAGATGAGGCTCCTGGTAGTGAGTTTAACAGTCTCTTATGGCTCTGCATTTGGCTCCACCTCTTGCACACATAACCCCTTTGAAACCCGTTGCCCACAAGTGCTGTGGGCTGTTCAGTCCCACTGGATGCAGATACAGGTAAAGGATCGATCTTCATCTCTGTGCCATTCCCCACAAGCTGCCAATGCTTTCCAGAAATCTCACTTGCCTCACAAACTGCTGAGGGAAATATTTCATTGCATCAGAATTACTTACTTCTGTGCACGCTCTGTAGCATTTTCAAGAATGTGCTCATTTTCATTAGGCTTGAACGACGTTCTTCCAAGGTCGTACCTTCTCAGAATCTTTTGCCCTTAAATATTTAAGACAGCAGGTACTTCAGGAATGAGCGTCTATCAAAATCATTTGGTATGAAAAGTCATTCAATACATGGTGCCTTTGTTTAACAAGTTACAGAAATAGAAGGAAAAGTTATAGTACGATGGGCGTAGATTACAAGGATATCTACTTTTAAAGAGAAAATGAAATGTCCTAAGTCAACACACTGGGCTTCTCCATTTCTTCTGTCTTTTACAATAACTTCATCAGACATGAGTAGCAGAACTGACCAGCAGATCAATGGGAGCAGTACCAAGCAGCAGTAAAGCAGTACAAGGCAAGTTAGGGTAATTGTTGCAAATCTGCAAAGAGTCTTCATTCCCCAGAGAGTTAAAAGTCTAATTGCCAAAGAGGAATGCAGCTGTCATTTTGAAATAGAAGAAATACCCCTCAACTATTAATATGGTGGCTGGAAGTGTGTTCTGCAGAAGCTAGGGAGTCTCTCTGAATATAGGGCTTGTTGCAAAAACTGAGATTTAATTACTGTCACATCTCTAGATACTAAATTCTTACAATATAGAACCCAATTTCTGGAAATGGCCTGCACTATTTGGCAGCCACAAATCCAACAGTAAGGCTGCCCACAGAGCCCTGTCCATCTGGTTGGATTTTTTCTCTATTTCTGCCTCCTAATTAGGAGATTAAAGCTTTTTTCCCCTCTTGATTTATATATGTCTTTCTTTTTTACTTTTGAACAATATCATTTCTCTTGGTTTATTTTTCTGATTCTCTTAAGTGTTTTTACCAATCAATAAAGCCTTTCAATTTGTTCCTTTTTTTTTGTTTGCTTCTTCCATTTTATTTTTTTGTGACTATGTTACTTCAATTTTAAACATGAATATGCTGCTGCTTTCAAACATCCTCTTTCGAAAGAAATGATAGGATTTTATAGATTTTCTTAGTAAGTGAGAAATCGATTTAGCAACACGTTGCAAACAAATTTTACCCTTAATTAGATTGAAGTTTTTTGTCATGTATATAGCTTCTATTTTTTTTCAAATTGTATTATTATGATCCATTTTCTGATTCATTAATTTCTACTCTTCTTCATTTTTCATCCTTCTGTTTACCTTAAGTTTAATTTGTTCTAGTCGCTTAATGTGAAAGCTTAGTGCATTCATTTTAAACCTTTCTTCTTTTCTAAAATACGCATTTAGTGTTATAAATTTCTCACCAAACACTGCTTTGGCAGCATACTGTAACTTTTTTTTTTTTTTTTTTTTTTTGAGATGTGGTCTTGCTGTATCACCTACTCTGGAGTGCAGTGGTGTGATCACGGCTCACCGCAGCCATGATTTCCCAGGTGTAACTGATCCTCCTACCTCCATCTCCCAAGTAGCTGGGACTACAGGCTTCTGCCACCACACCCAGCTCATTTTTATATTTTTTGTAGAGATGGAGTTTCACTATGTTGCCCAGGTTTGTCTTGAACTCCTGGGCTCAAGTGAGCCACCAACCTCAGCCTCCAAAAGTGCTAGGATTACTGGTGTAAGCGACCACACCAGGCCCAATATGTTGTATTTGAAATTTGTACTCACATCGAAGTATTTTCTTCTTATTACCATGTGCTATTTAGAAGTACATTGCTTAATTCAAATATCTGAGGATTTTCCATGCATCTTGAAAATTATTGATACCTTGTTTCTGTGGAGAAGGAAAGAATTCTTATCCACTGCTAGGTTCATAGCTGAGACCCCTATAACAAAAGACATTAACAGCCAGGTGTGTTGGCAAGGCAGAGGATCCCTTGAGCCCAGGAGTTCAAAACCAGCTTGGGCTATATAGTGAGACCCTGTCCCTACAAAAAATAAAAAAATTAGCCAGGCATGGTGGTGCGTGCCGACAGTCCCAGCTACTCAGGAAACCGAGGTGGGAGGATTGCTTGACCCCAAGAGGTCAAGGCTGCAGTGAGCCAAGATTGTACCACTGCACTCCAGCCTAGGTGACAGAGGGAGACCCCGTCTCCAAAAAGTAAAATAAAATAAAAGACATTAACAAGAACAGCATACACATTTATTTAATATAAGTGTTGGGTGACATGAGTACATTCATTACAGAAACAAGGAAACAGGGAAACCTGTATATTTTCATGCTTAGGTTTGATGAAAAGTGAACAGTTGTGGGAAAATATGATTGGAGGACAAAAGGAGTATGAACTAATATTAATAAACTGGGAGAACTTAGCAAGAGAGGGCGCTTGTAATGAGAGTCTTATGAACTGCCTCAGAGGAGAAGAGCGACCGGAAGAGAAGGCTTCCTGCTTCTGCTGTTTTCTCAAATGTCAAGGTACCATATTTTGGGCTAACATGTCTTGAACCCTATAATTTCATTCTGTTATGGCCAGGAACATCTTTTTAAAATTTTCAATTCCTACAAATTTATTGATGTCTGTTTAAGTCCAAAATTTGATGTAATTTCTTGAATGTTCTATTTATACTGAAAAAAATGTGAGTTATTATTTTTGGATGGAATGTTCTATGTATGTCATCTAGTTCAAGTTGCTTGATGGTATTGATACAGTTTGTCCATTGCTGTATCCCAAGTACCTAGAACTGTAGGTTCTTTGCAAATATCTGTTGTGTGAATGAATGAATGAATGATCTATATTATGGTGATGATTTTCATTTTCACCCTCGCCCAGAGTTCTAAAGATTAGGCTGGTTGAAGAATAATTGGAATCTAACTAGTGTATCTACACAAGCACCCAAGCAATTGCATATGAGTATTAAGCTGAAAGGCCATGTAGGTTGCATTTCTAGGTCTATCACCGCAGCGTTTACTGTATTTCTGATTATTTAAACTTCAAGAGATTGCTGCCTTTCAATACTGTTCTAAAAGAAAACATACCAGAGAAAAATACCTCAAAGCTATATATGGCAAGTCAGTACAAATTTGATTTCATGGTAAACAGCTGGGGATGGGTAGGGACTGAGACCAGAAAAAAATAAAAAAAGCAAAAAGAGAGAGATGGCGCTGATTTTTTTTTCACTTTAAGTTCTGGAATACATGTGCAGAACGTGCAAGTTTGTTAGATAGGTATACATGTGCCATGGTGCTTTGCTGCACCTATCAACCAGTTGTCTAGGTTTTAAGCCCTGCATGCATCAGGAATTTGTCCTAATGCTCTCCCTCCCTTTGCCCTCCACCCACTGACAGGCCCTGTTGTATAATGTTCCCCTCCCTGTGTCCATGTGTTCTCATTGTTCAATTCCCACTTATGAGTGAGAACATGTGGTGTTTGGTTTTCTGTTCCTGTGTTAGTTTGCTGAGAATGATCGTTTCTAGCTTCATCCATGTTCCTGCAAAGGACAGGATCTCATTCTTTTTTATGGCTGCATGGCCCTGAAATTTTTATATCATAAGTACATTCTTGAATGATTGTACATTTCTTATTGCACTCTCTCTTTACAAAACTTTTGTTTCTTTGCATAACTCTTTGCAAAAGAGCTATCAGCCATGTTTGTAGCCCAGGAATAAAAATGGTAGTTCTTGCAATAGAGATTATTAGTCTTTTTAGAGTAGTCTCACCATCCCCCCACACAGTCATATTTCATGTTTATTTCTTTTTAAAATTCAGGCAAATCAAATTAATTTTATTCTGAGATTTTTACAACACCCTTGAAATTACTATAAATATATTAGCTTGCTAGGAAAACCAGGATTTCTGGATTGGAATTGTGACTAATTTAGAAATTTAAAACGTATTAACTAGAGTTACAATTTTTGCAGTCTTCAAATGTGGTGGGAGGGTTATATTTTTTCTTTTCTTTTTTTCTCTTTCCTTTCCTTTCTTTTCTTTTCTTTTTTTGAGACGGAATCTCGCTCTTATTGCCCAGGCTGGAGTGCAGTGGCACGATCTCAGCTCACTGCAACCTCCACCTCCCAGGTTCAAACGATTCTCCTGCCTCAATTTCCTGAGTAGCCAGAATTACAGGCATGTGCCACCACACCCAGCTAATTTTTGTATTTTGGGTAGAGGTGGGGTTTCACTATGTTGATCAGGCTGGTCTCAAATTCCTGATCTCAGATGATCCACCCACCTTGGCCTCCCAAAGTGCTGGGATTACAGGTGTGAGCCACTACACCTGGCCAGGGTTATATTTTTCTTATTTGGTGCATCAAAATTAATCCATGTCAAGTTTGCACACTATTGATGTCCAGCTCTGCTGTCATTTCACTTCTCTAAGAGACTAATACCTTCTTCTTCTTTATCTTTCTTAACTTCCTCCAAGGAAACCTTGCTAGAAATCAAGTCTGGCCAGTTTTGCTAGTTCTTGCCTTAAGTATAAGTGCTATCTTTAAAATCATAGAATCCTGCATGCTAGTCTGAGATGTTTTTAATTAGGCCAAAACATGTCTTAGCCTGAGAATGTATCTGCATAATTCTAGGTTTTAATATATAAGACAGCTAGCCAAGAGAATATTATATGTGGATTTTTGTTGTTAAACCTATTGAAACTAACTTAACTTGATTCTCTATAAAAATCTTTCCTCTACCTCCTGAAATCTTTTAATTAGATACTGCTCTGAGTATGCCAACAATCACTTGACATTCTGTTGTTTTTAGCTCATGGTTACCTACATTTCTCTCCTATTTCTTCTCTTGTTACTCCCACCACTTACTACAACCCCAAAGAGCTTCTTTGTGCCTTGTTTTATGTAATCAGGAAGAATGACTCTGCTCTGGTATGAAGGAGAATCATTCCAAATCTAACAAGAACCGTTCAGTTTTCAGAATCTGAGAAGGAGACCATTAGTCATAGTTTTGAGGGCCATCACTGCCAGAGGCCTCTTGCAGTAGCCCTTGCTGAAAGAAGGAAGGGCTTGTGTGAGGACTCAGGCAAGGGGGCGCCCAGGTTGCCCTTCCCTTGGCCAGATGTGCCCACACCGTGCCACTGAGCTAGAAAGCCAGCACAGACCCTCTGTCTTCCTTAAGATGCCAAGAGGAGGAAACACACACTTTTCCTGAACAGAAAAAAAAAGGTTGGGGGGTGGTTATAGGCCAGGTGCAGTGGCTCATGCCTGTAATCCCAGCACTCTGGGAGGCCGAGGCAGGCAGATCACCAGAGGTCAGGAATTTGAGACCAGCCTGGCCAACATGGTAAAACTCTGTCTCTACTAAAAATACAAAAATTTGCTGAGTGTGCTGGTGGGAGCCTGTAATCCCAGGTACTTGGGAGGCTGAGGCAGGAGAATTGCTTGAGCCTGAGAGGCACAGGTTGCAGTGAGCCGAGATTGTGCCATTGCACTCCAGCCTGGGCAACAAGAGCGAGACTCTGTCTCAAAAAAAAAAAAAAAAAAATGGGTTGTAAATCATGGTGCAAGTCTATAGTACTATGGGTTCTCTATAACTCCTGTACTTAGGTATTATGTTGGGTTGTCCTGGGAGGGAGGACACTTCAGTGCCAGCCTTCTTTTTTTTTTTTTTTTTTTTGCGATGGAGTCTAGCTCTGTCTCCCAGGCTGGAGGGCAATGGCACGATCTCGGCTCACTGCAACATCCACCTCCCAAGTTCAAGTGATTCTCCTGCCTCTCAGCCTCCCGAGTAGCTGGGATTACCCACCACACCCAGCTAATTTTTGTATTTTGGGTAGAAACGGGGTTTCACTGTGTTGACCAGGCTGGTCTTGAACCCCTGACCTCGAGTGATCCACCAGCCTTAGCCTCCTAAAGCATTGGGATTACAGGTATGAGCCACTGCGCCTGGTCTGCCAGCCTTCTTTTGAAAACCTTTAACTCAGCCAGGCATCGTGGCTTATGCCTGTAATCCCTGTGCTCAAGCACTTTGGGAGGCTGACCCCAGGAGTTCAAGACCAGCCTAAGCAACATAATGAAACCTCATCTGTTAAAGAAATGTAAAACCTGTCACTGGTTTCTGAGTATGCTTTTATTTTGAAGATGTCCAGGGCCACTGGCCAGCTGTACCTGTGTGAAGTAGAAAAAGCCACCCTTCCTCATAGGCAGGGGAATACAGTCTCATGCCAGGGCACTTGGCTTGTCTGGCGTGCTTACGTAGTAACAGCCAGCGCAAGTGTGTGTGTGTGGCTGCCTGGTGGCTATATCGGTGAGTGTGGCTGCAGGGTCACTATAGTTTAGGAAATAGTTTGTCCTTGATGCCTCTTGATATTACTTCCAGACAATGATAGCCAGGGAGTGCAAGGAAGTTACAGAGAGATAAGGCTGGTGATTATCACAAATTCTTCAGAGAAAGG